AGAACTATTGCGACTAAAATCAAAGACCAGTTCACATGTTTTGGATGCGTTCAGCTGGAGGTTGTTAGCCTTACTCCACTGAACCACGTTTTGGATCTCGGCTCTATAAGACGATTCATCGTTATTACTGATGAGACCGATGATGGTGGTGTCATCAGCATATTTAAGGATCAGGTTAGAGTCTGAGGAAGACACACAATCATGAGTGTACAATGTAAAAAGTAAAGGACTCAAAATACATCCCTGAGGAGATCCAGTGCTCACAGAAACAACATCTGAAAAACAGTCATTGATTTTCACTCTCTGAGATCTGTCAGTTAAAAAGCTATAGATCCATTTACACATGGCAACACTTAAACCGAGAGACATGAGTTTTTCAATCAGTTTACCTGGGACAAGACAATTAAAAGCAGAGCTATAGTCAATGAACAGCATTCTTGCAACAGATTTACTATTGTCCAAGTGACTGTAGACAGAGTTCAGAGCAAAGGAGATGGCATCCTCCACACTCCTGTTCTGTCTGTAAGCAAACTGGAGCGGGTCAACACTCACAGGGATCTGGCTCTTAATGAAGTCCAGCACAAGCCGCTCAAAAGTCTTCATAAGAACAGACGTGAGGGCCACAGGACGATAGTCATTAAGGCATGTCACAGGAGTTTTCTTAGGAACTGGAATGATGGTCGACTCTTTAAAGCAGTTCGGCACAGTACAGTTCCTTAGCGACAGGTTAAAAATGTCTGTTAAAACAGGGGCAAGTTGCTCAGAGCACAGTTTCAGGACACGGGATGGGATGCCGTCCGGGCCAGGGGCTTTCCGGACAATGGTGCTGGACAAGACCCGCTGGACTACCTCCTGAGTCACGGTGAAGGTACCTTGATTGAGACAATCAGGAAAGACAGTAGGACAGGCATCAGCAGATTCGAAGCGGCAGTAGAACGAGTTCAGCTCATTATAGAGCTGGGCCAACAGATCCGATTTTCCCAGCACTAGGTTTCCAGGACGTGATGGCTTTAATACCGCTCCACATGCGCCGAGGGTCATCTTCCTTAAAATAACCCTTTAACCTGTCCCCGTAACTGCGCTTTGCAGATTTAATAGAACGTTTCAATGCGTAACAGGATAGCTTATAGGCGACTGTATCATTTGATTGAAACGCCAACGCACGCTCATGAAGTTTTTGTTTCACTTCCGCGTTCATCCAAGGGTTTTGACTGAGATGTACTTTAATGACCTTCTGTGGGACACAGCAGTCAATACAGAAGCGTATGTATCCAGTCACAGCGTCACAGAATTCATTAACATCCTCTGACTGAAACACAGACCAGTCAGTGGCATCAAAACAACCTTGTAGCTTCATGCTAGCCTCCTCAGACCAACACTGCACAGTGCGTGAGGTTGGTTTATGTTCCCTGCTCCTCTGAGTGTATGAGGGAAGAAGGAGAACAGAGGAGTGATCGGACTTTCCAAATGGAGGTCTGAGACTGGACCTGTAAGCTCCCTTCACATTGCTGTAGCAGTGATCCAGGATCTGTGCTCCTCTTGTAGCTCGAGTCACATGTTGGTAGAAATTTGGGAGTACAGTCTTTAAATTACATTTGTTAAAATCCCCAGCGACAATGATCACTGCATTAGGATGAGCAGTCTCGTATTTATTTTTATAATATACAAGTAATGTATCATTATAAACACTTAATCAAAAAACGCTGGGCTACATGATGGTACTAAAATGGCCACAATATTTTGTCAACAGTTTGTAGTTTCACAGACTGGTGTGTCCGTCAAAGTCTGTCAGTTCATTGGGGTTGGGGCCGATCTCAAATGGGGAAGAGCCTCATGAAAGTCCAAAAGGCAGCAGTAGGTGTAGAATGACACTAGGGAAAAAAGTGTATATATAATATATCGTATTTTTTTTTTTTTTTTTTATGTGAATAAACTCAAAAGTGCGTGCTTTTTGCGGCCTCTTAGCCGACTTCCTGCTGACCTGTCGCAAAAACAGGGCGTGGAACAGGTAGTTTCTGAATATTTCTAGGCGTAACTTTCATAAATACGCTAGTTTCGAGCGTGGCATTTATTAACAGCCGCAGGTGCGTACGCTCAGATCTTTGCGTATCTCACACGTTCATAAATGCCACGTCAGATCTTGCGTGTCTGGGATCTACACCCAAGATTTACACCTTTTTTTTTTTCTGCGCAATTTTCATACATGAGGCCGATTGTCTGGAAGGAAAATCTAGCCAGAGAAGAGAACCCCTGCTCACTACATCTCTACCTAGTCGTCCGTGGGAAAGAGTAGCAGCAGATATTTGTGAGCTGAACAAACAAAACTATTTAGTGGTGGTTGATTATTTTTCCCCCTACATAGAGTTAGCTCATCTAAAAAGCATGTCGAGTGAGACTACAGTATCAAGTCTGAAAAACATATGTGCTCGATGGGGTTGTCCAAATATTCTTGTCACTGACAATGGCCCTCAGTTTTCGGGCAAAATTTTCACACAGTTTACAAAAGAATATGATATCAATCAATCAATCAATCAAAGTTTATTTGTAGAGCGCCTTTCATACACAGGGCAACACAAAGCGCTTCACAGTCCACATCACAAATCATCACATAAAACAAACACCAGAATCACAATTAAAACATTAAAATCACACAAAAGATTAAAACACAATTAAAACATTAAAATCACACAAAAGATTAAAACACAATTAAAACATTAAAATCACACAAAAGAATAAAACCATTAAAACTTTCAAAATTACACAAGAAATAAAAAAAAAATAATAAAAAAAATAAATAAATAAATGACAGCAGTGCATTAGAAATGGAGATAAAATCCTTCAGTTGTATGCACAGGCAAACAGAACAGTCTTTAACCTGGATTTGAACATTGACAGAGTAGACGCCTCCCTCACATTTTCAGGGAGATTGTTCCAGATCTTAGCTGCATGGATCTGAAACGCAGCCTCCCCATGTTTGGTTCTCACTCTGGGCACCAGCAGGAGGCCAGTCCCTGTGCTCCTCAGAGTCCGGGCTGGTTCATATGACACCAACATGTCACTAATGTATTTTGGTGCAAGGCCATGGAGAGACTTGTACACAAGCAGAGCTGTTTTAAAATCTATTCTTTGAGCCACAGGAAGCCAGTGCAGAGACCTGAGGACCGGACTAATATGGTCATACTTCCTGGTTCCTGTCAGGACTCTAGCTGCTGCATTTTGAATGTACTGCAGCTGCTTACAGGTCTGTTTGGACAGACCTGTAAGCAGGCCATTGCAGTAGTCTAGCCTGCTGGAGACAAATGCATGGACAAGAATCTCCAAGTCTGCCCTGGACACTATATTTCTAACTTTGGCAATGTTCTTCAGATGGTAAAAAGCTGTTGATGTTATTGATTTTATGTGGCTATTGAAATTTAGGTCTGAGTCCAGTATTACCCCCAAATTTCTGACCTTGTCTGAAGGAAGTAGGGAGAGAGACTGAAGTTGACAAATGACGCCCTCTCTTTGTTTCTGGGGACCAAAGACAATGATATCGAGCATATTACTAGCCCTCACTATCCCCAGGCTAATGGTGAGGCTGAGAGAGCTGTGCAGACAGCCAAACATATTCTAAGGCAGCAAGACCCTTTCTTAGCACTGATGATTTACAGATCGACTCCTATTCAAGCCACTGGTGTGAGTCCAGCTCAGCTGATGCTCGGAAGGCAGATCCGAACTACTGTTCCAACCTTAGAATCCAAGCTCCAGCCAGAGTGGCCAGATCTTCAGCTTGTGAGATTGACTGACGAGACATCAAAAGAGAACTATGAACTAGGGATGTAAATCGGTGACCGTTTAACCGGTGGTTGACCGTCACAGCGTTAACCGGTCAAAGCTGTCGGTTAAAAAAGAGAAAAGGGGGAGAGGGGAGGTCTCTTCATAACGCTATTTTAAGCCCTATTTGCACGATGTGACGAGCGGGTCTGTATCTAGCTGTGTGCGCCAATGTAACAGTAAACTCTGGGCCGACTCTAACGCCGTACGCGCCACATATGCACGCACACATGTACACGCACACACACACACATCCCCCCCCCCCTCCATTGACACGTAACATCCACACGCAACATCCACACGCATCATCTCTCCCCCTCTGTTACCGTCTGCTAGTTGCACACTGGTGCGGGTCAGAACTACATTGGAGCTTATATTTACACACACATACATACATGTATTGCACACACACACATAGCTTACATATACACACACACAGACATATACACACATACATACATGTATTGTACACACACACATACCGGTCTGTCGCGCTCCTCTGTGTCACGGAGCCCAAAGCATTCTTGCAAATACACGGCTCCAGTCAAACCACATGGACCATGTTTGTGCTGCTGGTCCTTGGCATCAGCTCCACACTGATCACTTTTAAACTTTAGGGGAGACCTGCAAGACGCGCCTCGTCTCTCGCTGCCCTGACCATGTGGATGAGCTGTCTTTTGCTTAAAAATGCTTTAAGCCGCAGCACAGAAGAATGGGAAGATTAAAACAGCAGTTCTCTGTGCGCAAAGGTGCCCAAGCTGTTGCGGGTTTTGGTGCCGCTGTCTCCGCTCTGATCCATTAGAATGCTCAGCTGCACATATGAAAAGTACGCAGCTCGAAATGGCTGTTATTTCAAAGAACGTGGACTATTTTAAACTATGCGGTTAACCGGTTTCAACCGGTTGATGAGGCTCGGTGGTCGGTCATGAAAATTCATAGTTTTTTACATCCCTACTATGAACGCACATACAACAACAGGTATGGTGCTAAACCACTAACAGAACTTCCACCAGGATTAAGTGTTGCAGTGAAACTGGACAGTGAAAAGGGTTGGACAAAACCAGCTACTGTCCTACAAAAATGTGACTCCCCAAGGTCATACTTTGTACAGACTGAGAGTGGAGTGCTGAGGAGGAATCGTCGACACCTGAGGCCCATCCTCAGTGATCCAGCTACACCTGCAGAAGATGGACTACAACAAGCGGAGCCTGAAAGAGAACCACATTTGTCTCCGTCACCTGAAGGTCCAGCGCCTGATCCACCTGGGACTCCAGTTCGCACAACCTTTAGAGGTAGAGTGGTGAAACAACCAAGCAGATATGCAGACTATGTGAAATAAACTAAGAGCTATTGAGCCTTTGTTGACACAGTGTTTGGAGTTCCTGCTAAGCATGAGTAATGTGTTATTATGCTGAATGTTCTATTGCACTAATATGCTGCATTTATTTAGTTTAACGTTGTCTGAAGGTTGTATGCAGATTTGTAAGATGCATAATTTAGAATGTTTCCACTTACAGCACTAGTATACTGCTAGAATGTCTTACGACTCAAAGAAAGGGTGATATAAAGTGATGGCTCTATTTTATGTGTAATGTTATTGAAGCAGTGGTGTGGCTGAGGGGTATAAAATCTGCTTCCGGTTTAACACGTGTTCTGACCAGTGGGGGAGGGTCCCAGCTCAAAAGTGGCCAAAATGACGTGCGCTGACATGCTTGCAATACCACCCCGGGCCGATGGGGGTGGACCCAGAAGTAGAATTAGCCAATGCTAACATATAGCATTGGCAGACCTCTCAAAAACGTCTTTACAGGATGGACCAAAAGTATATATACAGTCTATGGTTCTACGCACGCACAAAATTCAAATTACACACACACAAATCTGGGTACAGACGCACACAGTCCAAGTTACACTTGCGAATCTGCGAAGGCAGGACTGCGTCAAAAGATTTGTGTGTAAAAAAAAAACTTTTTTTTTCTTTACACACAAATCTTTCTGTGCACACACAAATCTTTTTACGCACACACAAATCTTGATACGTAAATACAAATCTATTTACACACGCACAAATATTTCTTTTACACACACACAAATCTGGTTACGCACGCACAAATCTTTTTACGTACACACAAATCTGGTTACGTACACACAAATCTGGTTACGCACACACAAATCTGGTTACGCACACACAAATCTGTTTACGCACACACAAATATTATTGAAACAATAATAGCTCCATATTCAAGCAGATATTAAAGACAGCAGTTTGTCTGAAGATGGAAGATGGATTATTCTAACACTCAAAATGAATATTGTAACTTTTATTGTATGCAACATCTATAACCACAACAATCCTGCACTGGCAAAAAACACCTCGACACATAATTGCTCAAAAATTAAAGACCTACTAACTCACAGAGGTGCTTTTTAATAATCGGTAGGGATCTGAATGCGTCGCCTGATGACAATGTAGACCGGTTTCCACCAAGACCCAATCAACCCGCTAAATTTAAGTGTACAACTTTTTTTTCCCGATGAACTCTCTGTTATTGATGTATGGAGATACTTGCATCCAAATTCTACTGAATATACATGGGCAAACGCAAACAGATCTCTACAGTCCAGAATAGATCTATGGCTCACCTCCCCATCATGTGTTCAGTATATCACAGAGGTGTCTCACTCATATGCTCCTCTGTCCGACCACAAAATTATAACAATCCATTTGAAAAATGAATCTCAACTCAGAAATGTGCGTGGATACTGGAAGCTAAATAATAACCTACTAAAAGATCATATTTTTTGTAACAGTCAAAATGCTGGTAGATGAGATCCTTGATGACCAGAACTCAAACCCGATTTCAAAATTGGGGATTTTCAAAGTAAGGGACTGCGCAATAAAAAGGAGCAAAGAAATAAAATCTAAAAACATGAAAGAAAAAAACAAATTACTTGAAGAATTGAATACTTTATTAACAAAAAATACTTTATTGGAAAAAGAAAAACTAAGGCTAAAAGAAATTCAAGACAAGATAGACCAGAGCTATAAAGAACTAGCTAGAGGAGCTTTCATCAGGTCAAGAGCCAAATGGTTAGAGTACGGTGAAAAAAACAACAAAAGTTATTTCTTTGCTCTTGAAAAAAGAAATTGCAGCAAAAACAATATCTCATCACTCAGTTTGAATGGTAAAATCACCACAGATTTCAAAGACATAACACTATCTTTTCCTTCTACAACAAGATTTACCAATCAACAAACCAAAGCAAATTAAGTGAAGATTATCTGGATTCAAAATATTATTCCCTCAATTTCTGAGCAATTCAAGTAAAATTGTGATGAAAACATCACAAGAAAAGAAATGAAGGTATTACAACCGAATTTTACATACACTTTTGGGACCTTATTGAAAACCATTTGTTTAATCTTTTCCAACAATGCATACTTCAAGAGGAGATGTCCGCCAGTATGACACAAGGCTTGATATGTCTCATTCCTAAACCAGGTAAAGACACACTTTTAATAGAAAATTGGCGCCCAGTCACTTTATTAAACACAGATAACAAAATACTTGCACAAATTTTTGGCAAACGCTTAAAGGAAGGATTACCTGAAATTATTAATGAACCTCAAACCGGTTTTATGGCAAAAATACACATAAGCTCCAACATAAGACTAGTTCTAGACCTGATTGATTACTCTGATCTCATTGACACAGATGCACTTATATTTTTACTTGGCTTCTATAAAGCTTTTGATACTGTCGAAAAAAAAATCTTATTCAAAACTCTTGAACTTTTTGGTTTTAGTCCCAATTTCATAAAAAATATTAAAATGCTCAACAAAAATATGAACTTTTTCCAATCACAACGCCAAGATTTCAAATACACAGATCGGTCCGACAGGGCTGTCCCATTGCTCCCTTTCTTTTCTTAACAGTTGTTGAAGTACTCTCATTGTATATTCGTAATAGTTCAGTCATCAACGGTATCACTATAGCCAGTAAAGAAATAAGAATTACTCAATTAGCTGATGACACTGCTCTCTTTTTAAGAGACAAACACCAAGTCGCTCCAGCAATTGCTCTAATCGACAACTTTTCTGCAGCTTCTGGTCTTGAACTCAACAAGTATAAATGTGAAATATTACCTCTGTATAACTTACAGGATCACCATATCTGCAACAGCTCTGTGAAAAACAATAAAAACTATCTTGGAATCCACATTTGTAAAAATAACCACGAACGCCAACAACAAAACTTTTCACACCGGATCAAGAAAACTAACACAATTTTTAACATGTGGCTACAAAGAGACATCTCAATTTTCGGCCGAACCTTACTGTCCAAAACGGAAGGCATCGGAAGACTTGTCTACCCTGCCTTCTCACTCTACGTAAACAATGCGACTGCAAAGGACATCAACAAATCAATTACCAAGTTTATCTGGAAAAATAAGAAACATTATCTAAAAACCAATATACCAACAGGTTCAAAAGATGAAGGGGAGATCGAAATGCTTGATTTCATTGATATGAATTACACCTTCAAAATCAAATGGATTCAAGGGGCACTAAAAAACCATAAGTCAATATGGTACCTCATCCCCAACCTCATATTTAACAAAATAGGTGGTCTTCAATTCATATTAAAATGCAATTATAATGTCAACAAACTTCCAATAAAACTCACCAATTTTCATCAACAAGCCCTTACAGCATGGAAGCTCTGTCATATTCACAATTTCTCCCCCCACACCTGCATCATCTGGAATAATAATACATCTTAAAAGGCAAAAAATCAATCTTCGAATCAACATGGATCAAAAAAGGTATAATTATTGTTTCCAATTTAATAGACACCCAGGGCAATATCTTAAGTTATGATAATTTTCTCGCAAAGTTCCAGTTTCCCATCATGTACATACAATACAAAGTTATTACACAATCCATCCCCGATGGATTATTACACTTAATGAGAGCATCACAACTCACCCCAACCATAATGACCACCAAGCTTTTTCTCAATGGACTGGACCTCCCAAATCCCAAATGCAACAATAAAAATATCCGACAAACATTCCAAAACAGAAAACGCACTCAACCCAGAGGAAAATTTGTTTGGAACTCCACCTTCTGCAATATAAACTGGCACAAAACATGGCTATTACCCTTCCAATTCCCCATCAATAACAAAATTCGTGAAACTCATCTCAAAATCCTACACAACATTTACCCCACAAAAATCATCCAAACTGCTCCTTTTGCAACACAGCACCATCTTACTCAACGCAGCCTCCGGTCTGGCCTAAAGCTGTGGACCATGTGTTGTTGTGGCTTCTAATTGGTAGGCTTTAAGTATTAAGATGTACTTTTTTTCCTTTTTGTTATTTATTTAGGGTTTTTTAGGTAACTTTCTAAATACATATTTCTTATAGGTGCGTCCCAGCGGCACTGGCACACGCCCCCCTGCTGCTTTTTCTTGGCTTCAGCTGCTTTGTCTTCTCTGCTTGTCCTCTGCTGCTTTGCTTCGCACAATTGCTTCACTGCTCTGTTTTGTGAATTTGTTTCATCCCACTGTGTTTTGCTGCTCCGTGTCCCTCGCAGTTGTCGACACCTGCGTCCCGGCTCTGGGGACGTACGCTACTTGTGGGAATGTGCAATAAGCAGTGAATGTGAACGAGTGTGCGAACGAGTGTGTGTGAATGTAGCATTTAGTTTGATCCATTTAATTAAATACAAGGCTGTAAACTATTGATTACACTGTAAAATAAACCTGTTAAACTTGGAACCTGGTGCATTCTAATCTTTTAATACTTACCTGTGTGTCCTTATTTTATAGTACAGTACTCTTCCAGTGAAATTCCGGTCGTGGCGTTGCTTGGTTTATTTCATCACTTCCATATTTTAACCTGTTATAATTAATGCATTCCACCTATTTCCTCGATCACAAAACCACTACCCCTAGGCTGCCACAGATTTGGCTTATTGCTGGCAGGATATTGAATAAACAGATGCCCAGGTTCCAGTCCATGTTTGTGAAAAAGTATTGAAATGTCTGAGTTAAAGTTGTGTGAAAAATAGTCACTGCTAAAGTCAATTGAAACAGTACCAGTTGCCTATGCTATTTGCATGTTTTGTTTTTTTCTGCATGTTTGTGTGGTTTTATTTTTTTTTATTTTTTTTTTATTATGCAACATTTACACAAACAATACAATATCAATAATGACTTAAAGAGACAGACAGACAGATAGATAGCTAATAGACTGATGTTGACAAGAAACCAAAACATAAACAAAACTGTCAGTCAGTCACGAGCTGTGACCCATGGTTGGGAACCATTCTGGACATTCTAAAACCTGAAAGTACTGCTGTTATTGTGATTTGTTGATCACTACATGTATGTCCACTGTAAATTCATGGCATCCGACGGTAAACAGTTTGTCTCTTGTGTGTAATATTACTTGCCTCACACCTCCCGAGAGCCATATCTAGTCCAAAGAACCTATTTTCTATATCACTGGCATAACGTAACTCATATATGCTACAATTGCTTATGCAAACAGTTTTGATTTTTTTAATATGAAAGTTATGTATGAATTCACTTTCAGAACTCCAGAAATTATGTTTGTAGCCATAACAACATGTGCAAATGTTTTTGCATGTACTCATGAACTTCCTGATCTCTGGCCTGTGGAACCTGTTTGATTGTTGTTTTGAATTTGCGCACAAGACGGGCATTGACATGGGCGATATGAAACTCTACACTTTTCTCCTTTGTTTTGGTTTCAACTACTTTAATGTGTTTTCTCAACGTAAGTCAAATCTAAGCTTTTTCACTATGTCATAATCTTCTTTCCGAATACAGCAAAAGCTTGATATAATTTAATTTTGTGTTTCAGATTCCCATCTAGCACGTTATGTAGTGGCTTGTTCTGCTCACATTAACTCCACTAGAGTTCTTTATGATTTTGATGGAGACTTAATTTTGTTTGTGGATTTTGTGAACAGCGATGTCATTTTTACAACTCCATCTTTCATCCATTTTGATTCAAGCTATTTCGACAATGTTTTTCGAAATGCATGGAGAGCACGGAGGACATGTCTTCAGACCCAGTTAGCGTCTATATTACCAGGAAGTAAGGCACCAGAGGTTCAAGGTAAATGTATATGTATTTATGATATAATATATTTTATAAATACATTTTTTGTACATTCGAAAAAAATGAGTGCATTTGGATGTCATGATTTGTTGAGTTTAACCACAATGGTCTGCTGACATTTTCATACTTTCCAACTGTAGAGGAACTAATATTAATCATATTTTACCAATCGTTGTGCCTAAAACTTGAATTAAAGATAGATGTGTGAATGAATGTATTTGTTGATGGTCTGGGTTTTTGAGGAACAGATCAGTGTCCCAGTCCACAAGTAAATATGGAATGTCTTTTACATTCATTTTTTCTAAAAGCTGTAAAAAATTTAATTAAAATGACACTGTTTAATTGCTGTCGTTGTGTCCTTGGGCAAGACACTTAACCCCACTTTGCCCAAAGCCCCCACTGAAAGATCAAGGCTATGCTCACAGTCAGAGAGCAGCCGTCCTCCTGTGGACTCACCACCTGCAGAGGGTCAGTGAGGGGCTGGTGCTATGAGACTTGGGTGGCATCTCTGATTGTCACCCCCCTGACCCAGAAATGGATTAAAGGGTAGAAAATGGATGGATGGATGGATGTTTAATCCATATGTACCATCTAGAAACTAGAAACTTGAACAAATGTGGCTCTAAAGACACTGCCAAAGCTTTGCCAATATTTAAAGCAGTTCTTGATGGTAAATAAAATAAATATAATATATAATTGCAGGCCCCTGTCACCTGTTTACATTGAGAGTACTTAACCAGACACTTGCCAATAAGAATGCCAGAGTTGTTAAACATAGGGGAAGTCCATTCCAAATTCCATTTGTTTTTTGAAGCTGCAATAGAACGTGATACAATCAGACTATAACGTGCCAAATTCATTATAAAGCACAAACTTTTGCAGCCGACCAGAGTGCTGTGCACAAACAAGAACAAAGAAAAAAAAGATCATAAAAAATGAATCCATTAAATATAAATATTTACAATTGTTAACATATAATATCCCAGTCAACCCCAGTGGAAGCAGAGTGGAATAGGTTAGGGTGAAGGGCCTTGTCTAAGGACACGACAACAGTTTAGCACAGACTGAGTTCTGACAGTTACAGGCTTTCACATGCAGGAAGCACCATAACTCCCGAGCGACTTCTTCGTAGGTCCCAAAAAGGGGTCACCAGCGATGATTGCAACACTGAAATTCATTGAGGGACAAATGAAGATTCTGTTATATTGCTTGTCTTAACTCCCTATTTGAACTCCCCAGATCCCCCTGAAAACATCTTGTATCCTGCTGAAGAAGTCTTATTGGGAATCGAAAACAGACTTGTGTGTTTTGTCAATCGTTTCTACCCTCCGGTCATCTCTGTGACCTGGACCAAAAACAACTGTCCTGTGTCAAAAGGGGTGACGACCAGTGCTTATATACCCAACAAGGACACAACTTTCCATTGCTTCTCCACCCTCACATTCACACCAGAGCAGGGAGACGTGTACAGCTGCACAGTGCAGCACCCGGCCCTGGAGGAGCCCACGACACGCATATGGGGTGAGTGACTTCAGTGTAACTGCAGTAGGCCTAGTAGAGGAACAGCAGCCTGTACTTACCACAAACTGTGACCGCATAATTTCTATGTATACAGTTGTAAAGCAGAAGTGTACATACATTTGATCAAACATTTATCACCCAAATATAAGGGTGGGGTGGATGAATCTTGATAGAAGTTGGAGCTGGAAGGTGACAGAATTGAGAGTGAGATAGAGCGTGGTGTGACCAAAAATAAAAAACCCAGTTAAAACTAATAATAAATAGTAATATACTGTATATTATTATCACAAACTAACAGAGGAAACTATCTTGCTTTTAGTTTTGACAGCTGTTTATTGGCCTCTTTTCTATTCGTAAATTATGTCAGTGCAATGAAGATACGCACGCACACACACACACACACACACACAGTCCTTTTAAATAAAGAAGTACTGTAATATATAAGAGGCGTGTCCATGCACTGTCCTAGCCTGATAAGACAGATAAATAGTCCCAATGTGAATCACATTCTTGTGAGTCTTCATCTTGCAGGGCAATGTTAGCACTTTTCCAACCAAATACACATTCACTAAACAATATAAAAGCTGTAAGTTTAGAACACGAAGGATACGACAACCTGGAGTTGTAGGTTGTAACTTTTGTCTGCTGTTTGTTCAATTTTTCCCCAAACGTTTTCACAGATGTGGATGTGGAGAGACATCAAGACCTCGCTGTGGATCTCTACTGTGGACTGGGACTGACTGTAGCCTTTGTGGGAGTTGCAATCGGAACATATTTAACAATCAAAAAACGCTACTGCCACTGAAGCATTGGAAGTACGCAATGATTATAGACATTGACAATGCGATTGGCCTCTTTATTATCTCGAATAATTAGTTAGCTAATAGCTATTAGTTAATAATAATAATTTACTAATCATAAAATAGATTCACTTTTTTATTATAGTTTAGTCAGTCAGGCTGTATTTAATTTAATAAATTGCTTCATTCTATCTTTTCCTTCACTCTTTTCACTCAACAACACTAAATGACTAAATGTGTCATCTCCAAAGATATGTTTTTTAGATTTAATTGTGATTTATGCCATTTATAATTTTATACTTTATAATTTTAATTTTATACTTTTTACAATTAGTACTGTTCGCTAGATAAAAAACATTGTCCAATGGCAAAGCAGTTTTATAAATTTTAAACATATTTCATCATCTTATATGGCGCCACCTACGTTGCTGATACTGGCAGACCGCAGCTGCTAAGCAGGGCTGGCTTGGTTAGTACTGTGATGGGAGACCTCTGGGAACACTAAGTGCCAAACCTTGTTGTATCCTTTGGCGAGTCGTGTGTGTATATGAGTGGTGGTCATACTGTACACCCGAGTCCTGCACCGCATGGTCTTGGTCCTTGTTCTGTAGCCTGTTCAGGTTATACTTACACAGATAAACAGGCCTGATAAAACAGCAGTTGGCTATGTCAGTGGAGTAACCTGCCCGACAGCTTGCAGCAGTTTGGTCTTAGACACTGTAATCTGCTGCTGTCTAAAATGTCCTCTTTTAACATCTCACCAGATGCAATACAGCGGTTTACATCCTACCTCCAGACCAGATCACAATGTGTTAAAATAGTCCATAAAAAGTCTGTACTTTTAAATTCATAAATGGGCATTCCGCTCTTTCCTACCGTTTCCGCTTTTCTTCACCCACTCATGGTCCGGGTGCTCCAAGAGTTCCTCGGAATGGTTACGTTTTACCATTGGTTTGTTCGCCAGGCGGCTCACATTATGTGCCCACTCTATGAGGCCCTCAAGGACAGTAAGGGCAGGCTCCTTTTGTGGCACCGGCACCTGCCACAGCTGATTAGTGGCATATACACAACAAATGGCGTTTAAAACGGCATGTGGACAACAAGTGGCGTTTAAAACGGCATGTGGGGAATAAATTAGTAAAATTAGTGGAGCTAGTGGTCCAGTGGCTCAGATGGAAAAGTTGGGTCCTTGGGCCTAACACTTCATGAAGAATGTCAGAAGTGCCATAAATTGTTTGAAAAATGTTGTTTGAGTAATAATAATATATGTTCGCACTTGGTTTATAACTGCCTCTCATGCGGAAGATACCTGGTTCAAATCCAGGACAGGTCATTATTTTTTCTTTGTCAGATTAAATACAAATTTAATATGTATGACATTATATATATATATATATATATATATATATATATATATATATATTATATATATATATATATATATATATATATAATATAAATATAAATAAAACAAAAGAAAAAATCATTTTATTTCTCTCTCTTCTTTAATAAAACCACATCAGAAACATGGAACAATAAGAAAGAGCATAATTACATATATTTTTTTATAAAAGAATGCAAAGTATAAGACACAGCTTAAACGGTCCAAGAACAGAAATGAAGATTTTAACAATATAGAGATGAAACCTCATGTTCCAATTACACAACTTTCTGCTTGTGTTTTTCTATCCATCACTCTTCACCATCTTTGGTTGGCTCCATTCTTGATGAAATGTCCTAAAACAACAATAGAATCTTTCGGGGTTTTTTTGCCAAAACACAAAATAAGTGGCGCAGTCATTAAACATTCGTCTATAGTGCGTGAGATTGGCAGATCGAATCAAAGTACTGTTTTTTTTTTTTAATGGCAGTTATATAAAAAGTGTATATATATATAAAGATATATATAGATATTTATAGATATATATATGTATAAAGAAATAACCGTCATAAAAAAGTTTTTGATCTTGGCTGGATTTGAATCTGCGAACTCTTGCATGATTGGCGGACACACACCAACTATACCACTCACCAGGTGGTTTTAAGTAAAATTGTGTCTTGAGTGTTTTACACATCATTTAGTTTTACCCTAACGATGATGCAATATTAATCCTAATGCAAGCTTACTATTGGAACAACACATAACCATATGTATGAAATATATATTCATACATATTCAATTTGTATTTAATCTGACAACAAAAAAATAAAGACCAGACCTGGAATTAAACCAAGATTCTTGCACATGAGAGACAGTTATAAACCAAGTGCGCCACAGGAATATACAGTTCTTCAGAATGTAAACCACATATAATACATGAAATTAAGTCTTTCAACAAATTTTTAATTTAATTTATTATAACTCAAACTACATTTATCAAACAACTTATGGCATTTCTGACATTCTCCATGAAGTGTTATGCCCAAGGACCCAACATCGGCAAATGTCATTGGTAGTCACTAGGGATTTGAACTAGCAACCATCAACACCATAGACCTGTGCTTTTCCATCTGAGCCACTGGACCACTATCTCTAATACTGCTGCTTGTTGTCTTTTGTACAGGCTACTTTCAACTGTATTTGTTTTACACGCTATTTATTCCCCACATGCCGTTTTAAACGCCATTTATTGCCCACATTCCGTTTTAAATGCCATTTATTGTCCACATGCTGTTTTAAACGCCATTTATTGCCCACATGCCGCTTTACACGCCATTTATTCCCCACATGCCGTTTTAAACGCCACTTGTTGTGTACATGCCACTGATTAGCTGTGGCAGTTGCCGGTGCCACAAAAGGAGCCTGCCCTTTCTCCTCAAGGACCAGGACATTGTCACTGAGAGGGACAGGGCGTTTGTGGCTGCGTTGTGCTAGGTCGCCATGTTGGCCCACCCGTCGTAGCCCTCACTACGACGCATCAGACTTTGCTGTGTTCGAGCAGTGGGTCAAGGGCGCCTAGCAACCGCTCGCCTTTTTCAGCCCCCAGCTTGTCCCCAGGGAGCGTAAATGCAGCACCCTTGACAGGAAGCTGTTTGGTGATTGGTTTGCGATCCGCCACTTCAGCTTTGTCCTGGAAGGCCGTGAGTTTATGGCTTTTGTCGACCACAAACCCCTTACATTCTCTATGTCCAAGGTGACTGAGCTGTGGTCTGCTCGTGAGCAGCGCCAGCTGGCGTTCATTGTGCATGTTTTTAGTGGTTTTTAGTAGTCCGGAGCACCCGGAGGAAACCGGAGCAGAAACTGGAGAGAACATGCAAACTCCACTCAGAAAGGCCCTGTTTCGACCGTGCTTCGAACCCAGGACCTTCCTGCTGAGAAGTGAGACTGCTATCCTCTCAGCCACTATGCTGCCCGTAGTGTGACCTCTCTACCTGCCAGCCCCGGCCAGTGGTCCCTGATGGCTGGCAGCGGTTCGTTTTTGAGACAATACACGGCCAGTGCCATCCCGGCAGAAAGGCATCTGTGCGGCTGGTATCTCAGAAGTTCGTCTGGAGGGGACTGAAGAGGGACGTGCGGGCCTGGGTCGATTCATGTGTAGACTGTCAGCGTAAAAAGGTGCCCCGCCATACCGAGGCGGTTGTTGTCCCAGAGAGGAGGTTTGACCACCAACCACATCGATCTGGTGGGGCCACTTCCCCCTCACAATGGTGGACAGGACAACGCTTAAATTCACAGCTTAAATTCACAGCTTAAATTCACCCTAGGCCCCGAGCTGTTGTGGCACTACGCCGCATATCCACTGTGTCTCTCCCCTTCTTCCTGCTGCTCCTGTGCGCACACAGTTTACTGGCCGGTAAGACTCCACAATTTCTAAATTAAATGTATGCCATGAAAGTAATACTAATGTTACTTTTAAGCATAAGCGCTGGTGCACAGCAGCACTCAGGCTGTCACCCCCTTTGAAGCAGGCCGTTGTTTTGACCGGGTATAAAGTACAGTGTATACTTGCTTTAATTATTTTCAGAAACTGTTATCAAAAGTTTAGAGGAAACCTCTTAAGAAGAATGTGTGTTTCAAAGTCAATTAACTAAATATATTTACCCAAAATATATAAAGTTGGAATTGTGTTGTATCCTTAGTTTAATTTACTAATTCCAGGTTATTTCTTCTGCATATCTTTTTGCTATTTTTATTTATTAACCTTTATTTAACCAGGAAAGTCTCAGTGAGCTTTATTCTTCTTCTTCTGTAATTTCATGGCGGGCTACGAATCAACATTGACGTATGCCACCACCTACTGTATCAGAGCGTTATACTCCATGCCTTTGGTACAATGTTACAGTCTATTTATAATTTTTGTTGAAGTTAAAAAATAAAATAGTGCCCTCCATGCCTTCCTCAGTGAGCTTTCAGAATTTATTTTCAGGGGAGTCCTGGCCCCAGAGAGGGGGTGGAGTGAGGTCAGGGAGGGTGTTATATGGGGGTCTATTGTGCATGTTTTTAGTGGTAGGGGAAACCAGAGCACCTGTAGGAAACCTACACAGACACGGGGAGAGCATGTAAACTCCACTCAGAAAGGTATGGATATGGAATCAAACCTTCTTGCTGTGAGGCACAAACGCTAACCACTGCACCACTGTGCCTTCCAATAAGGATGAATAAAACAGAGCCACAGAGTCCAGATGAATCATTCATTAATGCAAGCTCCTGATAGGCAGGTAATGGAATGAGGCATGAGTGAGATTGGAGTGGATGGAGAGTTGGTTGAAGATTATGGAGGGTGGTTGTTCAACAAAAGCGAATACATGTCAGAAAATCTTTGTATATAGAGAGAAACACTATGTCACAGGCCTTAGGCATTTTTCTACAGGAACATGGAAATCCCTAGCCTGGCCTTAGCCATCCGTACACTCCGCTCAATCATCATTTCACTGCATGTAACGTCTGGGTCAGGTCCCCATGTTAGCGATTACAATCGGTTGAATTTCGACCGATCAATCAGCGAGCGCGGGAGGTGGGTGTTGTAGTTGGTTGTGAGTGATGTCAAGAGTTTGCGTTGAACGG